GAGGTCCCCACAGGGTTGACAACGGTCATCGCGGGATTTGGTACACCGGTACCAACAGTGTTGTTGTTCACATCGTCATTTCCATGTGACGCCATTGAATCTTAAAACAAGTAATAAATAATTTAGAATACTTATAAATTCAAGATCTAAATTATAAGTTGAAAAATCTTCGAAATTGAAGAACGGATTATTTTTGTCAAATTATCAACAACTTATCAATTATTTTTAAACATAAATTAGACACTCATTAGCCAATGATTAAAATCAATCATTAGAAAAAGTAAACCAATCAATAATGGTCAATCATAAGCAATCATCACTAATCATTGGAAACAATATGATCATTACCCAATTATATAATTATTACTAATCATCTAAATAATTCACTAATTATTACCAATGATTAAAATACCATGCTAGTATATAAAAATCATGCAAAACAACTATATATATCTAAAACCATGCAGATTATATCTCAAAACCATGTAAACCATTCAAAACCATACCAAAGACATGCAAAAACCACATTTTGAAAACTTATGCAGTAAACGTTTTTTTTTCTCTATTCCAGTCTTCTTCCAAATCTTTGATCAACTCAAAATCTACTTTAATGCATTTATGTAAATAGGAAACATAATTTAGAAAACATATGAACTGGAAAAAAAATAACACGACCAAAAAAAAAAACTTTACAGAAACTTAAACCAAGAAGACAGAAACAAACTAAAAGAATTTGACCCTCCAAAACGGAATTCAATTTAAGCTTGTAGGATAATAATAATGGAGAATCAAAGTAGACAATCAAACCGAAGGCCTGTGTTTACACAGTTTCCTTAAATCGAATTCACCGCCTCAACGGAGTGCACGAGATTTTAATCGGTGTTCGATTCCCAGGATACAACCGGTTGTCGGTCTACGCTGCACTACGTTACCGACCTACGAACTAGCTGTGATCCACTCTCAAAGAATTTAAGCAACGGAAGAGAAAAATAAAACCACAGGCTGCCGAAATGGAAAAGGAGGAAGCTGTATTTTTTTTCTTTTGTTTGTGATTCGTGTTTGTTTCTATCACTTGTATTTTCAACCAATAGAGAACTCTTCTATTTATACACATAGAAGAAGAGAGTGGCCATAAATTCCTAAAACTGAAGAGTAAAGGCTGGCCGAAACTGAAGAGGAATGCAGTGGAACGGTTGAAACTGAAACTGGAGAACTGAAACTGAAGAGGAAACTGAAGGCTAAAGAAATAAACTGATTCTGATTTTCATTCAATTTCCAACAGTTTATTGTACAAGTTTAAACTGATTAATTTTTTTTTTTTTTGCAGGTTAACTAGAGCAAGTGAAACAAGTGTTGTTTCTAATACTAGAGTTGAGTCATTAGTTCAGCAAGATGAAGATTGCTGACCATTTGGTGCCTCACTAATTGATCATTGCTTTTAATTTGTTAAAACCATGTTTTTTCTAATAAAATGATGAAAATTATATTGAGAAATTTGTATTGCAAAAATAATAGATGTTAGTAAAATAATTGAATTTTTAAAAAAATGCGAGTTAGACGTCTTTTTTTAAGACTCATGTTTAACATATTTTTAACTATTTTTGATATTTATTTGGACTATTCGATATACCCATAATATAGTTCTCGAAATAAGTTTTAATATGACATAAACAATTTGTAGATTCGATTAGCCTACGATCGTCGAAGAATTTTTAAAATTATCATGTTATCGAAATTCAAATTTATTGTAATTTTGCCCCCATTTGGTAGAGATTAAAATCAAAATTTTAGTAAATTTTGATAAAAGTTAAACAGTTATGGATTCCATGAAATATCTTATTATAATTAATTGTTAACTTTGATTTAGATTAAAATTTAGATTTCAATCGATACTAAATACGATTTTATATAAAAAAAAAATTCAAAAGTTGGGGTGGCCCTTGCTCTTATAGGACCCCCCTAGGTCCGCCCATGTAGATGAGGAGCTCATGGACACTGCAGCTTATGATTCCTAGCTCGCTGGAAGCAAGCTTAACGAGATGGACATGGCCAGTTGAAATGAGTGTTACGATATCTTGAAAACATCCATTTCCATGCCCTTCACCCAAACGAACGTGCCACCAATCCATTAGAGGGATGTATGGCCATATGCGAGCAATCCATGGAAGGCTGTAGCTCCACCATTTCTTTTGTTCGGTGTTGATAGACTTCAACTTAGTCCCCACACCGATCATATTGAACAATTGGGGATAGATGGTGGTCGCCTTCTTCATGTGGAAAGTTGAGGGGGGAGGAGAGGAAGATATCCGCCCAAGCCTTTGAAACTATCTTCCCTCCCTAATGGACGCCAAATTTAAGCCCTTGTTTGGTAAAATTTTAATCTAACTCAAAATCAACAATTAATTTTAATCACTTATTTTATAGGATTCACAACTTTTCAAAAATACATTTCATCAACTTTTATCAAAAGTTACTAAAAGTTTAATTTCAATCCTACCAAACAACGGCTAAATGGGTGGTACAATGTCTCCACGGCCCGCGTAGGAGTATGGGACGATGATGAAAAGTCTCAATAAGGTGCTGGGATTGAATGAGAAGTTTTCTTTGTTAGCGGGACGTGGGAGATTTGACCAAAGGACACATAGTTGAATATTACAAAACCCCGGTGCTATAAGCTACAACATGTTATACATTTTATAATATTTAAATATAGTAATGCTATAAAATAAAAATAGTTTTTATCTAAATATAATATAATAGTATTCATTAAATGGACCACTAAATTAAACTTGTGTTTGAGCCCCAATTTTTTTGGAAAGAATATATTTTGTAATAGTTAGTGGCGGATCCAGAATTTTGACTGAGCACGTACGGTCGTTGACCGTCTGTTGTAATAAAATGTTAAAAATTAAATATAATAATTATTTTTCTAAAATTAAACATATATAATTTTATTATATATATAAACTATGTTCACCAAATAACATAGTAGTTAGGTTTCCTATAAATCAAAGGAAGAACGTACGTTTGAATCCTTACAATTGCATTAAAACCACTAAAACGGTTAGCATATTTACAATTGCATCAAAGGAAGAGCATACGTTTGATGGTCAAGTATTCAATAATCTTTCTAAGGATAATATTGATATCTGACTAAATCCATGACAAATGTTAGTATAAGTATACATCATAGAATACTTTTTAACTCCTAACCATACTAGATATGGTTCTCAGGATATTTCTTTGTGCACTTATGAAGTCTTTGAATATTTATGAAAACTCATATGGCCCCCTTCCAGTATAGGAGTATTAATAGAATAGCAATTCTACTATTAAAAATATTCTAGAGTCTTTATTCTATAAAACTACTGTGACAAAAGAAGAAGACTAGAATAATTTTTTAACACATAACATACAATTTGCTAAGCTCATGTCCGTCTCAAATATTGAGGACAATCATTTCAAAATGGTCTCAATGCACGCATTCTCATTAATATCAAAATTAGAATTATAACATACCATCAGTCTTTTACATAAATACAATGATCTTCATCCACATGATGAAATTTTGTACGAGATTTAAACCATGTTTAAAACTCAAGTACAATTGTCAAGATGGCCGCATTAGGCTACAAATACTATGAAAGCCTTCAACATGAAACCTATAAATCGATTTATGTAAATCTCTTCAATCAATTCTCAATTGCGAATGAAAATACGTTCTCTAAGTCTATTTGGTGTAATTAAACTTAAACACAATATCATGGTTAGTATCGACGTATAGAAGTGAATCTCATTGTCAAGAATTTTTTTTTATCTAACCCAATTTATTCATAATGAGTATAATATTTCCTTAAAAAAATGAATTTTATCTATCATAAATTCATTAATCTTCCACTTAGTTTTTAAGAATCTGAATGTTTTCAATAAACATGATGTCAAATTAAAATTTCCACCACATCTCAAGTTACGTTGGAATTCTGTACTCCATATATACTTCAATCACTTCCCTCAAATTTCTCTTTGTACTTGTATAAGTAAATGATTGAATTATTGAAAATAGATTGCGCGACAAATTACTCCCACTTGAATCAAAAGTTTATACAACTCATTTCTATTCAACAATACACATAATGTTAATTTCAATAATATGTTTTAAAGTTTTCTCTTAATAGGAAAATTGTCAAATATTACATCTTGTGACTCGATAATGAGTTTGAGAACATGAGCCTATTAAAAATGAGATGTATATCTATGAGATACACATGACAATCCAAAGGGTGCTTGGTCATAAGTGAAATTTTGGATGGATATTGAGTCTAAGATAACCATATATGGTTATCTACGTGTCCAAAACTTACACATTCCGAATGTACTAACATTGATAGAACTTCGTTAAGTAACATGTTGCAGTTAACCAATACTCTTCCCAAAAGGAAATCCGTAATTTAGACTGCATTATCTCAAGTATAATTACATTCAGTAATATTCCATTATTTCTTCTTAATAGACCATATAATTATTGGTAATTAAGAAACAGTCATTCCAATAAGAATTTCTCTTTCATTACCTTTCAATAAATTTTTGCTGACTATGAATTGGAAAACAGATTTTGAAAGTTTCTTGAAAGAACTGATTAATTTTATATGTTAATTAGTACTAATCAAAACTAATTTCACAACCTCCCCAGATTAATTTACTGTAGTTGTACAGATCTGTACTCGAACCCACCCGCTAATATAATCACAAGAATTCATCTACTTGTATCCATAATGCACAAGTGGAGGCCCCTTATTGGGGCCTCGACTGACGCGACGTCAGCCGAGGCCCCAACGAGGGGCCTCCACTTGTGCATTATGGATGCCTTTATGGAATCCATAATGTACAAGTAACACCTCTCTAATCACAATTCACCAAGAAAACCCAGTTTCCACTTCCATCTATATATACACGTACATATAGAAATAGAGACAGAGATAGAGAAAGAGAGACGGGAGAAAATGGAGGGTCTGAGGAGGGACATTGGTAGGTGGGCTCCGGTGGCAGTGCTAACATGCGCCGTGTTGGTGATGATGCCGTCGGAGGTGTCGGCGGAGCGTTACATTGTGGGAGCCAACATGGGGTGGACTTCAAATGTGAATTACACAGTTTGGGCTCAGGGCAAACACTTTTATCTTGGTGATTGGCTATGCATGTTCTTGTCTTTTTAACTTTCCGATTTACATTTTTGAAAATCATTTGTTCATAAATATGCTTGTTGTTGAATAGAATCTTTTAGCTATGTTGGATTAACTGAAGCAATTAGTATTTACTTTACAAATTAAGCTCAAAATCCATGACAGCAATAATCGGTCGAGTAAACTTAGAAACAAGCAAAGCAAATGCTCATAGTTAGAGTAATTGGCACGCACGCACTTGTTATTGGAAAATAATCAGCTAGCCAAACAAGGCAGCCAGCAAACAGGAACAAGCCAACCAAACAAAGACTAGCAGCAGGCAAGAAACGGGCAGACAGGCAGGACCACCAGCTAACAGAATTAGGAAAAATCTGGAAGGAGATTGTTAGGAATATTGTTAGCAATTTGTTGTAATTACCGTATGACTGATCCTTCTAGAATGGTGTAAATTATCTGTATATATTCTGGTGTTATTTGTATATGTTTAATTCATTTCAATCAAGCAAAGTTCAATACAATTATTTTCTCAGTTCTTAGTTCATCAATTTTTCGTTTTGTATTTACAAACTTGAAACTTGTTGATGTCGCAAGTTCACAGAAGAGAGTACACTTTTTGTTGATCAGTGGTCGAGTGATCAGTAGACAGTTTTGTTCAACAGCTTGGACCTTTTTTTGCTCATTAATGTTTAGTATGATGAGTATTTTTGTATGTTCATCTCTTTCTTGAATTGGGTACTCTTTCCAATTGAAAAGGTTTTCTATTTTTCCATTGACATCTTTCTTTTGAGGGAAAAGTTGTGGTCACTGCTAGATCTATCTTGTTTAGGCCTTCTAGTATGTAGTTGTGTTCAATGTCAATGCGATTAACTCCCAATGTAGCAGTAAAAGCAGGAAAGTGTAGGTGGATCAACTCGTTAGAGTCCAGTTGGAGTCGGGGCTTAACATTCAGAGTGCTCTTTAGAAAGTCATTGTTTTGCACTGTGATCTATAGTTTGAGATTTACCATGTGACTTCCAGTTAAGTTGTTTTTGTGTGTTGTTGACACGTCCATCGTTGTCCTCTCAAAGTCCATGCACAGTCATATAGAGTGTTTGGTGTGGATTAAAATTAAATTTTTAGTAGATTGTGATAGAAATTTTTGAATGGTGTGGTTGAAAAGCTGTGGGACCATAAAAGATGTGGTTAATATTGATTATTTGATTTTGACTAAGATTAAAATCTGATTTTAATCCGAAACAAATAGGGCCATAATGTTATTTCTGTTTTCTACTAATCAGCCAGTCGATGCAAAGTTTCTTGTTCTGGTTATGCAAGAAAGTGATATCCAAGCTTTGTGTTTGAACTGCTTTAGTAGAGTAAATCAAGATTGAAACTCTACTTGTTATTACGCGCAAAGGATCAAAATACTGGTGCACTTTTATGTTTGACTCTTCCTTTTCCTTCCCAGTTTTTGTGTATGATAGGAACCAGGTGAATGTGCTCGAGGTAAACAGTACGGATTATGAGAATTGCATTTCCGATCACCCCCTTCACAACTGGACTACTGGTGCTGGACGTGATGTGGTTCCTCTAAACGTGACAAATACTCGCTACTTCATTAGTGGCAAAGGATTCTGCTTTGGAGGAATGAAATTAGCAATTCATATCGAGAAACCCCTGCCCCCACCAACATCATCGCCACAAAAAAGCGACTCTCCCAGCTTGCTAAATTCTTTTAAAGGTGAGATTTTTCTTGCAGTTGCTTTTACAGCAGCTGCAGCATGGGATTCGTTTCTTCTACTTTTGTAGTAGCTGTGTTCCCACAAGAAATACAAGCAAATTCGCTAGTTTGGATATTTATTTTACCCGACCTAGAAGAAATATCGTGTTTTGTTTCATCGGTTAGCATTGGATAGTACCAAAGAAGAAAAATAAGTTCAAATTTGTTATTGTCTTGTATTATCCGACACTTTTGACCTTTTCCAAGTCATGATTTGTGGAAGCTTGTAGTGTTGAAAACTTTTTATTGTTCAACAACCAGCTTGAAGAAACTTTGTATTGGAGAATTCAAGTGCGTTAATTGTGGAAATATGTTTCGAGTTTTCTATGAAAAATGGTCCTCTGAACCATGCGATCACTTCACATTAATCACATGGGTAGGTCATACAGGATAATATTTAATTTCATTCTTATTTTTGTTAAATTGTCATCATTTCGTTCGGTTAATTGTTACCTATAAGTTATTTAAGGTGCAATATTTTTAATTTTAGCGTTGTCTGGTCCGCATTATTTTCAAAATACATTTTTTTCTATCTTATTTTCAACCATACATTTTCAATAAAAATAATATTACACACAGATTAATTTTTTATTTTTTTTAATCACACATTCTCCATCAAAATACTATTTTAAAATATATTTTGGGTAAAAATGAACTCAAATGATTCTTAGGGAGCTCATTCATTATTCCTTTTTGGGCAATTTTTTTGAAGCAAAGTAGAAATTTACTAAGTTCTTGTTTGCAATATTTTTTGAAAATTCTTTTTTCTACGTACTCATTTTTCTACGTTTCACACACCAGTTTTTATTTACATAATATTGGTCTATTTTTTAAAAACTCATTTTTAACCTCAAATTTCATGTGGCATATAACTTTTATCAATGTTTTAAGCGTATATTTAATCAACTTCTAAAAAAATTATTTTTAGCTCAACCAAACAGGGTAGTAATAATTAAAAAAAAAAAAAAACTCATTTTGCTAAAGAAGTAAAAATGTTTTAAAATTTGCTATTATAAGTAGCTTAAACTAAAATACCCTTGGTTGAAAATTTGCTATTATTGTTTCTTAATAGTTCTTGGATTACATTTCAAATAAATTTATTTTTCATACTAAATAGAGGTCAATTGAGTAATATTAATATGTTATTTTTAAATCACATTGTCCCAAAAAAAAAAAAACTCAATTACTAGACTGACGGAAAAATCTATTTATTTATCTATTTATTGTTCGGGAAAACTCAGCCAATTCATATCAATAATAAAAGAAAAATGAGCATAATGTAGGCCGTATGGAATGGCATCATAGCGAATAGGAGTGGGCAACGGGTTGGATCGGGTTGATTTTTACCCAAACCCGACCCAACTCGAACCGAACTGAACTTACCTGACCCGAGACGATTTGGGATGGTTCGGGTCGGGTCGGGTCGGGTCGAGTCAGCAATTTTTTTCCCGATTAGTTTTGAACTGTCAAATGAATCCTTATTTGCTTGAAATAAAATCAAAAAAAGTTTAATATTTTTTTCTTCGTGTTGATGATAGTTAATCATTTTCATAAATCATGGTATCGTAAAAAATTTAACTGAAACAAGATAATTTAACTAAATTAAAAACACACTAATTAAACCGAACCGATGGGACTTAAGGTGGTGCTCTCTTTGCTGTTTTCAACCCATTTTTTGTTTTCGATTTTTCAAAAAGGTGAAAACGCGTTTTCTTACTCGTTTTCGAAAACTAGTTTTCCAAAACAAAAAAAAAAAAATTGTGAAGAAAACAAAAAAGACCTGTGTTTTCTTCACAAATGCACACTAAGTTAGAAAACACGGGAAACGGCCAGGCCCAATTTCCTCCCTGCCAAAACACTTCCTCATGTCTACTACCAACCCACGCTCCACCTCCACTTTCCAAGCCCTAAACTCCAGCCAACCTCCTCCAAAACGGCCGGATTATGCTACCATTGTGAAGCCCTCAATCCCCTCTTCCATTACCACACAAACAACAATTTAATCATATTCCAAAATCAATAAAAAAATCCACAAAAAACTGATTCGAAATGAACTGCTTCTGCTGGAAACTCAACCTCCGGCAACACCCAAGGTCGTGCACCACCACCGGTCGATTGCCCACCCCCAGACGACTCCATCTATAGCTCCAATTTACCCAAAACAACATGAAATTATTCTGAATTTTTCCTGCACCAATCGCGAAAACCGCGCTACATGGTCGGCAAATGACAGATTCAAACGCCGGCCGGTGGAAACTCGTGGGTGTATTGTTGGGGTATTTGAGAGAAGAGAGACGATGGAGGGGAAGAAGAGAGACGACAGAGAGAGATGACGGAGAGTGTGGGAAGAAGAAAGAGAGACGCCAGAGATGAATTCAATTTGGATTTGGGAGAACACGTTTTCATTTCCTCATTTTTTAAAACAATTTCTCAAAATACCAAAAAGAATGCATTTTCAATAATTTCAAAATGGACACTGAAAATACAAAATACAAAATGAATTCAAAATTCAAAAAACAAAACTGAAACACAAAGAAAACGACCCTAAATAGTTTTATAATTGTTTGGAACCCGATCCAACCCCTTTTTATTCTAAACCGACCCGACCCGATTCAAGTTGGGTTGGGTCGGATTTGTGATTTTCGATTTATGGGCCCGGCCATATGTATCATTGAACTATCCTTGAGTGATACTTAAAACTGAATTTATTTTCATGTAACGTTGACACATAGGAGTTTTTATAATTAGGCAGCAATTAGACTTGAACACGTACTTTTAATAACGTAGCTTAATAATATGTTACTTTCTTTGCGCAAAGAAATAATAACAAATATTTAATAGACAATATTAAACATAGTTGACAAAGTCCTCCACTTGGCATTTAATAATGCTTAATGCTTCATAATTGGAAAAAGAATATAATTAAGCCAAATATAGAAAACCATTATTCTCAGTCTAGTTACTTCAATTTCCATAATGAGATAACCCAAAACTAATTAATAATAGATGATCTTTTAAGGCCATTAAAAAAAATTGGGAGCTACTATTNCAAATGGCAGATTCAAACGCCGCCCGGTGGAAACTCGTGTGTGTATTGTTGGGGTATTTGAGAGAAGAGAGACGACGGAGGAGGGGAAGAAGAGAGACGACAGAGAGAGATGACGGAGAGTGTGGGAAGAAGAAAGAGAGACGCCAGAGATGAATTCAATTTGGATTTGGGAGAACACGTTTTCATTTCCTCATTTTTTAAAACAATTTCTCAAAATACCAAAAAGAATGCATTTTCAATAATTTCAAAATGGACACTGAAAATACAAAATACAAAATGAATTCAAAATTCAAAAAACAAAACTGAAACACAAAGAAAACGACCCTAAATAGTTTTATAATTGTTTGGAACCCGATCCAACCCCTTTTTATTCTAAACCGACCCGACCCGATTCAAGTTGGGTTGGGTCGGATTTGTGATTTTCGATTTATGGGCCCGGCCATATGTATCATTGAACTATCCTTGAGTGATACTTAAAACTGAATTTATTTTCATGTAACGTTGACACATAGGAGTTTTTATAATTAGGCAGCAATTAGACTTGAACACGTACTTTTAATAACGTAGCTTAATAATATGTTACTTTCTTTGCGCAAAGAAATAATAACAAATATTTAATAGACAATATTAAACATAGTTGACAAAGTCCTCCACTTGGCATTTAATAATGCTTAATGCTTCATAATTGGAAAAAGAATATAATTAAGCCAAATATAGAAAACCATTATTCTCAGTCTAGTTACTTCAATTTCCATAATGAGATAACCCAAAACTAATTAATAATAGATGATCTTTTAAGGCCATTAAAAAAAATTGGGAGCTACTATTTTATGTTGGAATTGGTTAATTATAAATCATGGAAAAGTGACTTTTGTGTGGACTTGATCCGATAGTTAAATTATGAAAATAAATAGACTAACTTGTTCTACTCGTCCAGTAGATTATTGTGTTGGTTGGAAATTTGTCCAATTCTGTCGCTCGCCTAGCCCTTGAGCGACAAGCTAGCGAAAGGCGAGTGACAAAGTCTCTGTTTCTGACGCAAGGACGACTGACTAGCGATAACAAAAGCTGCGACCATTGGCAAAGGTTGCTGAGTTTGGGGCGCAGCACTTCACTCACAACCTTTCCTCCTCTATAAATTAGATCATTGAGACGTCCATTTGTTCATCCCAATGATATGCAATCATAGCATAACATTAAATTCATCTTTTTCTAACCTAAATTCTACATTAAAATCTATTTTTTCCATTTTCATTTAAGGAGTACAAAAACCAAACTTCGATTCATTGTTCTTATGTTTTGAAGTACTACTAACACAAGAAGATTATCGTTGTATCTTGGGAGTTGATTGCCATCATTCGTAGGCACTGTTATAGGGCAAATTCGATTTAAGGACAAAGAGTTCAACTCTTGTTCGATTTTGCATGCATATCATTTTGGCGTTGCTTTGACATTGATTTTCGTTTCGTATCCTTACCGTTACTCAGTCAAATTTTTTATAAGGTTGATAAGTTATTTTGGTTTAAAGCAATCACTTAAATACATCATTTTGGTCAACATTCTTAAGTCGAATTTTTCGTTTGAGTGATAACTTTATTCTAGTATTGTATTTCGTTAAACTAATTTTGCTTTGGTTTAACTTCTTCTATTCCTTCTCGAATTTGATTTTGGTTTATCTTCTGTTTTGTGTAAACAGAAATGAATATGATTAATAATACAGATACATCTTTGAATATGGGAACTTCGGAAGGAGTATTACCTTACTTGGCTCCTACCGTTGTGATTCCTCTGGTTGCGGTTGCCACTACCACCGTTCATACTAATTCCGTTCCACATGGAGTGAAACCGGAGAAATTTAGTGGGATTGATTTCAAGAGATGGCAGATAGAAAATGTTGTTTTGTATCACGACCCTAAATTTGGCAAAACTCTTGAAAGAAGATGCTCCCGTACAAGAAGGGGAAAATAATATAGCATCATT